CCAATATCCCTCGGTAAGGGCATATACCTTACATCCTATGAGGTGTCCTGGTATCATGTAGGGTCTACTCCTTAGTTAAAGGATTTGGGCTTTCTGGGTTTAGAGGGTTCTTACAAAAGGGAATCCCTTTCAAGGGTACATGATGGGTATAGGGGTTATGTTATATAGAGGTTCGGGTGTAAACTTTCCCGAAAAAAAGAAGTTTCTTTGTTGGCATCCACATGATTAGAATTTAGTAATTTGGAATGGAAAAAGCGTGGAAGCGAAGGTTGCACTGCCCAGACCCTGACATGGCTATAGTTGGCTCAGAAGTACAATCATAATCAGGTTATACTCTCCTAAACCCTAAACCGCACGATAGGTGAGGATTGCAAGAAGATGCTGGGAGTCTAGAAGGGCTTATTTGATACGACTCTCAATTTAGGTGTTGGTGTCTGGCGCTGTGGCATCATGAAATTATGGGAAGCCCTCTGGATAGAGGGAAATGTAAACCCATGATTCTGATGAATCAACCACATCCTTATAAGGGCTCGAGTATTAGGATCCCTAATATCATCCCTATTTCGGGGAGGGGGTGTATAAATCAGGGGTTTGGTTAGGCCCATAAATAAGTCCCTGAGCTGTAATTATAATTCAGCCCCCATCAGCTTTACAATAACCAACGATCCGCATTGTTAGCGCGCTTCCTAAGACCCCCTGACCCTCCAAGTAGGCTTTGCAGTTTTAGGTTTCAATGGTTTCAGCATCTGAGCTGTAGAGCTCACATGCACGGCTAGCTGAGCATGATAAAGATTCGACTGAGGCCCAGGGTTTACGAGGTTACCGTCGGGCGAGGGCCTGCTGCTAAGCTGATCCTGGCACCTGTGCGTACAGTTCTCTTCCCCAATAGAGCTGAAGAAGGCTTACCCGGATTCCACGGTATTGTACTGGTGGTAAAGGACGAGCGAGTGAGGGAACATCGGGGCTGTGGGATTTCCATACGAGCCTCATAGGGATCCATTTCCCCACTCCACCTCAAGCAGAAGAAAAGTATGCTTTGTTTTCGTTGCGTCGTTTTCCTCCCACCCAGTGCGGACTGATGGATTAACAAAGAACCCTCCCAAATCCTACTAAGCGGATTGTTTGCGTTGAGGGTTCATAATTGAGAGGCTTCTGATTCGTGGCGCAAGGCTCCGACCGACAAAACTGTGACCGCAACAGCCAACAAGGCAGCAATGCGATAAAGGCCATAAATTCTGGCAGTATGCTAAACCCTAAACCCTGCTGATTGGAGGGCTCCTTTCACAAGGGCATTGTTGGGTTTCTGGTTTAGGGTTTTGGCTTTAGTGATCTGGGCTCGGGCTCAGCCAGAGAAATTTACGATCAAAGCGGCTGATGGCTTACAAAAAAGAACCTTCACCATAAACCCTGACACCAACCCGTACATTAAGAACACTATAGGAATCATAGACATAATCATGTTTCGGGTTGGGGTAGTCCAAATCACCTTCTTAAACGCTCGTGGGTTCCCTTGCCACGCCCCGTACTACCCCAAGGAGCTTGCCACTGGATTGGGCTTTCGTAGCTCTTGTCATCCCTAATCTGTAGTCCCCCTGAAGGGGTATATGGGAATCTTATTATATTATACCCAAAGCCATATTCCCTATATAACCCAAATATACGATGGCAGCTTCCATTTTCTCTTCCATCATCCCTATATCACCCCAATATATACTATACCCAAAGCCATATTCTATCTACTTAAGGGGGACTACAAGTCTACCTTCGGGGGAACCTAAGGGGGCTGTACAGGGGGGGGTGGCTGGGTGGCAAGGGAGCCCAGGAAACAAAAGTCTGAAGGTGTCTGCTACAGCTTCCGTAGAGGCCAACTTCTCTGGCTAGGAAAGGCCTAGAAACAGAAGCCCCTCCGTCAACATCTCCAATTCTAAGCACACTAGGGGTTATATAGGGTTAATGGAAAAGAAAATGGAACCTCCCATATTGTAATAGGGTATTCTATATTCACCCTAAAGATCTGTAATCCCGACTCCCGAACTCCACCCCAAAAGATCTACAACCTCAATCGCGAGCACCTCTGCAGCCAACTCCTATGAATTTGGAGCCCTGGATTCCGGTCGCGCAAAACCCTAAACCCTGAACCCAAAACCCAATAATTAGGTACTTGGGATTTGGGTAATAGTAATTATATGCCGGTTTTGGGTAAGTATATGATTATTGGGTACTTGGACCTTTAGGGGCAGAAAGGAATTATGAGGCCAGTGGTTTCCTATAGGGTCTGGCCTATCTGAGGGGCCTTCAGGATCTACCTGAAAAACCGAAGAATTCTCAATTGCCGAGCCCCAATGTTAAAAGTCCAAACGCCCTGAACTAAAACTCCACTAGCGGTCCAAGTTAAAACTCCACAGAGGCCTTTTTTTGAGAGAAACCCTGGGTCTTAAAGTCTACAAACAACGCCTTTGTTGGGCCCTAAAGTCTATAAATAATACCTACGTCGAGCCTCAGCGAAAGGCAAAGCCCCGAACGCGAAACCCCAAACCCTCAAACCTCTAAATGCCAGTCCCAGCACTTGTGGCTGAAGCGATCAATGCCCGCTCCTGCGTGCACCTGCGCGTGCCACACTTAGAGCTTCAAGGTTCAGGGTATAGGGTGTTGGCGTTGGATTCAAGGTTTCGGGTTCATGTAGGGTGTTTAGTTCGCCTAAACCCTAAACCCTAAAAGCTATTCCCCAACATTCCCCAATCCTCCCTAAAGCTCCCCAAGGTTCCCTTACGGCTCATCAGTACCAGCCCCCCTTGGACCCACCACCGCAAAGGCCTCCCTAAACCCTAAGTATGTATGTATATATGTATATATATATATGTACATACTTAGGGTTTAGAGTTTAGGGCTTAGGGTTTAGGGTATGTACTTGGTATGTACTTGAGTACCAAGGGTTCCTACATAGACCCTGCGCGGACTCAGTATATGCTAAGGGGTTCTTCTCGAAAGTCTGGATACCCAAGCCACCCTGAGGAGATGCATGGGGATTGTAATAGGATTTTGGGAGCTGCTGTCATGGATTATGTGGAACCCTAAGGGTCCAAGGACCCAAATAATAGGGCTTTAGGTCCCAAATATTTGGGCCCTAAAACCCTGTTATCTGGGTCCTTGGACCCTTAGGGAAAATGATTTAGAGACACTCCCACATAGGTGCCCGAAGTGCTTGGGAAAGACCCTAAACCCCTAAGCCCTAAACCTTAAACCCTAAAAGTCTGCAAAGTCACAAGACGCGTAGCCCCTAACAGTTTGGAACGCCCAAGTAAGAAGATCAAACATACTTGGAGTGTCTAAACCCCTAAACCCTAAACGGCCCTAAACACTAAGCCCCTAGACCCCTGGACCCCTAAGCCCTAAGCCAAGTTCAAGGGATGGCTGCCTTAAGGGCGGTATGGCTCCTGGAGCAACAGCCTACTGGGTTGCTGTGAAGGAATCTAAATTAAGTTACTGTAATATGGGTATAAGTTAGGAGGACCCCCCACCCTGTAATAGTGGTATATGAGGAATATAAGAGGACCCTAATATAATCCTTATTATCCCCTTTAGTCACTATTACAGGGTGGGGGGTCCTCCTAAGGTCAACTCTTAATGGCTAATAGCCATGATACACTGACAATTTAACAGGGTTGGCTACAGTAATAATCTTGGTAAACGCAAAACCAATATTAGTAATGATTGTCATAGTAATAGTCAACACCCGCCATATTCCCCTGATCGTTTAAGTTCGGAAGCTGTGAAGCTTTCGCAGCTTGAAGGCATAGCTCGAAACAAACGCACCCTAATGTACACCCAAACTTAAACTCTAAACCCTAATGCCGAAACCCTAAACCCTAGACATTCAACACTAAGCTCTGAGTCGCCCGGAAAAACCCACGATCTCAGGCAAAAACACTTCACAGCCCCTGCTTTGCCCTTTGAAAGCGGAGGGAACCTAAGCCCTAAACCCTAAACCCACCCATCAGGGAAACTTCAGGTGATCTGAGTTTTGCTTGGGGTAAGGTTTGAAACTTCGGGGTTGAGGCTTAGAGTGTAGGATCTAGGCTTTTGGGTGCATGATTTCGTGTTTGCAAATAAAATCTTGTGATTCGGCGTCCCAAATTCAAATGGAGACCACGTACATGCCTTTCTTTGAAAGGACAGGCCCTTTTATTGAGCAGCTGAAGAGGAAACAAAGAACAAGCAAATGGTGCTGCATGAGCGAAAACACCACAACAACCTTGATCCAAACCCCAAACCCTAAACCCGAATCAGTTCTTCTGACTCCTGTTATGGCAGGTCTACGGATTTCCAATTCGGAAAACAACTATCCCTTGAGCATACAGCTCTCGACTAAGGCTATTCCTCATAAATCCTTTAGGTGAACCCCCCTCCCTGTAATAGTGACTATAAGGGATAATAAGAATGATAATAGGGTCGTGTAATATTCCTATTATGCCGCACTATTACAGGGTGGGGGGTCCTCCTTCGACAGTACGTAAATCCTAGCTGTCCTAAATCCAGAGGTTTGGGGTTTAGCGCGAAGGGTTACTCTTCAGGCAAGGAAGATACCTCAAATCACATCTAGCACCCTAAACCCTAAACCCTAAACCCTAAACCCTAATGACCCAAGAAATCATCTGTAACGGCGAGGCTCTTGGCTCAGGGCTATGAAAGGGAGTAGCTCTCGCCATCACCATACGAAACAAGATGGAACCCAAGATGCGCGTGGATGTGGCGTGGGTCCCGTTTAGTCTGCGCAGGCGTTAGACGAACTTCGTGCCTGTGCCTCAAAACAACACATCCCCGTTACACCTGCGGACTGGGTTCAAAATATTGCCTGCCCCCTCACACCCAGGACTTCAGGCCTATTACTTCTTATCTCTCCTTTGAAGGCTAGAGGTCCATAAGCCCTCCTTATTTGGGCTCTTTGTGGTGCCTAGGGAAGGAACAGAAGTTGCCCCACGAAAGCTCTGAAAGCATGTTGCCCTGGAAGCAGTAGCCAGCGCTGGAGCAATCGTTGGGGCAGCCTGAGCACAATGTAGGCTGTAATCCTCTCCCCCTAATACTCAAACCCCCCGACCCCCCGTCCAATATAAAATACGCCCCATTGTGGTATATTATCGTATGTTGGGAGTATCTAATATTAGTGGTGGGGTGGGTGTGTTTAATATTCGAGGGAGGAGATTGGTTAAAAAGCATCTCTCTCAAAGCAGCCTCTTGTTTCAAGCACGCTCCCCTCCGGATCGCGCTGTCACTCTCACATCAGCAAGGGACCGGAAACCATGTTCAAAGTTACAGCGCAGCTCTGGCCCATGTCAAATTTATGCTCGATGCCCAGTCCTGCCAGATGAAAGCTTGTACCAGAAACCCGCTACCCCCAAACTCCAAAATCCACGGCTGATCACAACCCAGCACACGTTTGCAAAGGGCTTGGAATAGGAAGAGTGCTGAGGGGCTTAGAATCCAAAAGCATTTGGGCTCTCTATGCGAAAGCTCCCTATGCAAATGCTGATTCTACTACTCTGACTGCAATAGTACAACTGCTAGTGCTACCAGAATGCCTGCTACGTACTACTACTCCTGATACTAATTAATGATAAAAATACTCAATACTGCCACTGCTGGGGCTAACACCGCCTCCTGCACCACCACCACCACCACCACCGCCGACGCCACCACCGCTATCGCCGCCGCCGTCGCTGCCGCCGCCCCGCCGCCGCCATCACCATCACCGATAACAACAACCCCCACCATTTTCCCCACCGTTATCCGGCTGAAAACATATAGCTCCTGAAACAGCACCCCAGAAGCTTGAGAAACCCCCCACAGTGGACCGGATACTAAACATTGACACTATAGGCTGCCATCATGCTTCGTAGCATTACGAACACCCCCCAGCAATAACACCCTAATTTGGACAGTATTTGTTACTAGGGGTGGGCAAGTTTTATCATCAGAGGGGAACTGGCAATCATGCCACATACTGTTCGGACAAGCAGCGCTGGATGTGACACGCTGCGCCGTGCCAGCCCGGCTGGCAGATGCACTTTCCGTGGAGGCACATTCCACCTGAGTTTCTTTTGCAGCTCATGTGTACCAAGGCTCTCCCAGCTTACATCTTGGATCCATAAACCCTGCATCTCTGTCTGCAGCCTACACAGCCCTGAATACTTACCAGTAGTATGGTCCTAGATCCCCTGTACAATTCTAGTATAGGGAGCCTCCAACGAACCTCCAAATGATGTCGGTGATCATTCAACCTTCCCTCTACATGGCAATCCCTATAAGCCGTTCCATTTCATCTTCCATCTGTTTCCATTTGATTCTCCATTATTCTCTCCCCAAGCCCGAAATCTCAAATAATGTTGCAGTTTCCATCTTCTTTTGCATTCCCTGTACAATCCGTGTATTATCCAGTTATCGAAGGCCCTGAACCTAAACCCCAAATGCCTGAACCCCTAAAACCCTAAATCCATAAACCCTAAATCCCTAACCCCTAAATCCCTAAACCCTAAATCCCTAACCCTGAACCCTAAATCCCTGAAACCCTAAACCCTAAATCCTCAAACCCTAAATTCCCTAAACCCTAAAACTTAGATTTCCTCAAAGGCACGGCTATGGCAGTTGCTGGGGCAGAGCGGCATGTCGCACATACTTCCTGGCTCGACAGGCTCTTGGCTTGAATTGGGTTTAGGGTTTAGGGTTTAGGGATTAAGGGGTTTAGGGTTTTGGGATTAAGGGGTTTAGGGTTTAGGAGTTTAGGGGTTTAAGAGTTTAGGGTTTTAGGGCCTTAGGGTTTAGGGTTTAAGGGGTTTAGGGTTTAGGAGTTTAGGGGTTTAAGAGTTTAGGGTTTTAGGGGTTTAGGGTTCAGGGTTTAGGGTTTGCGGTTTAGGGGTTTAGGGTTTAGGATTTAGGGATTACGGATTTAGGGTTTAGGGTTTAAGAGTTTAGGGTTTAGGGTTTGGATTACAGATTACCTAAAAATCGAGCAATCTTCCGGTCAGTAGTAACTGCCCCCAGAGCAGTAGGTATAACCTATGAAAGTATAGGTAATTGGGGCTACAAAGTACGGTCTAGAAGTCATGTGCAGAGAAACTCTTAGAAAGTAGTAAGGTTTGGGAGCTTGCGGTTGGAAGCATCAAGCATGGGGGGCACTTGTTTTTCCCGTTGCTCTCTAGGTGCTGATGCACGCGACATGACCTTCGTAATTGCTTCATGAGATGTGTTAAACCCTAAACCCTAAACCCTAAATTCCAAACCCTAAACCCCTAAAACCCTAAACCCCTAAACCCCTAAACCCCTAAACCCTCCCAAGGAGGCCTTTTCGTGCTTTGAGGTGGGGATGGGTGAGGCGGTCATAAGTTGCACGAAAGAGTCGACTTTTCCTATACACTCCCTAGGGCTCCAGTTACCTAAATAGTAGGTTACTGGGCTAGGTAACTATAGGGTATGTAGAACCCAGTTCCCATTATTTAGGTAACTGGAGCCCTAGGGACTCCTAAGTCCATCTGATTTTCCTTGTTCTTCCGCATGTGATTTTCCGTCCTTGGGGACAATACCCCCAAAACCGGTGTAGGGCTTAGGGCCCTAGAAATTGCCCAGTCTTTAATCCGAAGAATAATACCAAATACTAAGCTCCAAAACCCTAACTGTGTAGCCATGATCTTTTCCCAGTCTCTCAGCCAGTTGACCATGCAGCGAGAACAAGACAAAGACGTTTAGTGTCTGGGCTTTAAGCGTTTAGGGTTTAGGGTTACGTTATTTGGAAATCATTCTCAAAAGACAACAGTAAAGTGCTGTGTTTCTGCCCAGCTCAAAAGCAGAGATTTTGCCGCATGCTTTGCGAACACTCCAGGTGCGTGCACCCGATCGTAAACTCAAGACCCTAATCCCTGAACCTGCCATATCCGGCCCCTCAAAACAGGAAAACCAAGATGGGCCCTAGAGATATGTGAGCTACTGTCTAAACTCCTAGTATCCCCTTAATAACCCCTGTAGTAGTCCCCTAGATTCCCCCCTTTAAGGAGTTTAGACTATAGCTGTGACAAATAGAAGTCTGAGCAAAGGCACCTCCTTCAGGGTTCAAACATTTGGTTTCCCCAAAATGGGGGAAATATGGGGCCCCGTATTATAGTAGGAACCTAAATTTAGGATCCCGTATTGACAGCAATTTAGGACAATCCCCATGTATTGTTCTGGCAGAATCCCAAATCTCTGCAAGAGGTCGCCAATGGAGCTACAGGACGCAACAGTCCTCATGCCCTGACCGCGGAGCATTTCTGGCAGTAGCCCGGTAATGCGGCGACACCCTAGCCCTGAACCCTTAACCCTCGACCCTAAACCCTGAAACCCTGAACATTGAACCCTTAAGCCTCAACCCCAAACTCTAAAGCCTAAACCACAAAACTTGCATGACCTCAGCACCCCAACCCTTGGGCATGAACGGAGTTTGATACCACAAGGTCATGCAGGATTTGCAGTATCAGGAGTGTCTCTGATGGTTGGAGAAGTGAATTGGCACTCATCCCGAAGAAGCAGAAACATCATAAAGCAAGTCATATGAGCTATAGTCTAAACTTTTTAAAGAGGGGTATATTAATGATTATATAGGGGAGTATTACAGGGGTTACTCAGGGGGATACTAGGAGTTTAGACTGTAGTTCATATGGGTTATAGGAGAAGTCACATGAGAGGTCATCTTAAGTATTGTCCCTTTCTGGGCCCCCATTAGGATACAGCCGAAAATATTCAGGGTACTCCTAAACCACAAGGCTCACAGCCCTGCACAGGAAACAGCCACCTCCCCCAAATAATACCCCCCCCCCCCCACACACACACACCCTAATCATGAATACACCAGCCAATATAGTACAATGACATACTAGCTATAGTCTAAACTCCTAGTATGCTCCTTAGTAACCCCTATATGTAGTACTCCCACATATATAACCCCTTTTGAGGAATTTAGATTATAGCTCATATTAAGGAGGAAATCCCCTGAACCCTAAACCCTGAACCCTAAACCGCGTGAGAAGGCTGGGGGGTTGATAACCCAAGGGGCGGTGACTGCTCCACACCTTGCACTCGCTGTGAGCCCAGAGGGGGGTTAGAGGGTTTAGGGTTTGAGAGTTTAGGGTTTGGGTGTTTGGGGTTTTGGGGGTTTAGGGTTGAGAGGTTTAGGGTTTGGGGGTTTAGGGTTTAGGGTTTGACCCCTAGTAGTAAGTTTTCCCAGTGTGGTACATTCTGAAGTACGGGACATATCCAGTATTACAGGGAGGAGATAAAGTTGAACAATCTAGGTAGGTGTCCAGTATCTAGGGTTGATCCAAGGTTCACCTTTCAGTTTCTCTTGGGTTTGGTATTACCCTGAAGGGTAATTAAAGGTGGTCCGCTGGACAGGTAGTCACATACTTGAGTGCTTTAAGCATCATATCACCTAAAGGTGCTACTTGCCCGTTTGCTGGCCTGTCCAGCCCGCATGACATTCACAACGCCCAGATTCCTCGCATTTTCCGTGGCCACCTCAGCCGCAACATTGAAACCCTCTGAAGGCGAGCACCCCCCGCCCTAAACCCTAAACCCTGTAGCCGCGTTTTGGCGGGATTGCAGTCTTTAATTTGACCCGTCCGGGAGATTCGCATTAGCTTGAGGGAGGGCAGCTTCAGGGCAAACAGTCTTCCGTTCTGTTTTCTTGATTTTCAAAGGGAAACCGCCTCGCCTCCCTTGGTGACCTTAACATCGTTTAGTCGGTTGACGGTTTTCGTTGGGGGGGGTTCATGTTCACACCAATCTGCCAATACGACAACCAGGTCAATCAAGCAACCCGAACATGCAGGATGCAGCTCTCGCAAAGAGCCATATCACGGGCAGCTAGCTGGGTGAAAGGGATGGCACACATGTAAGGGTCAATGCTTGCCCCAAAAAGAACTACATGAGGCTTCCATAGGGCCCGCACCAGGCTTTTGCTAGCTTTCACCTGGAAACTCCCCTTTCCTTGCCATGAACTTAGGAAACTTCACATCTATTCCTATCCGGAATTTCTACTAGGCCCTTCCGCGATCCTGCTGAAATTATGAGACAAGATTCCAAACGACTAGGGAGAAACGATGCATGTTCTCAACTTCCTTAAACAGAACCCATACTCATCCAGAACACTTGTCTGTGCTATCTAAGACGGAACTCTTTCTACCCCCTGTCTGAAACACTCTAGTCATTGCAGAGTCCACTTGTGGATTTCATATCACTTTGGGTGAGGGTGTCTACCCGCAATCCTTGCATGTGATCGCGGGATTGGACTTAAAACCATCCAGGACTTCTGCGTATGTCATCTGCATCGCATCCCTGCAGATCTCCAGTCTCTATGCAATCCTTAGACAGCCTTTCCAGAACATCTCGCTAACTATGTATATGCTAGTGGCATGCTTCTTGTCCAACCCTAAACCTTGAACCAGAAGGGACTTTACCGGGAACCCCAAACAGGGAACCCCAAGAATATAGTAGGAATATAATGGGAAGATACCTACCAGAGTCCTTATGTTCTATTATATTCCTAATATATTCTTGTCCCTTTACAACCCAAATCCCGCAATGCTGATCCCTAGACCCCACTCACTTTCCCCTACTTGGCTCTTGAGTTTCCTGGTCCCGAACAGCTTAACCCTTGAAACACAGTAGGTATATATATATATATGTAATATGCCCCAAAGTTTAAAAATATATATATATAGTCCTCTCGGAAAGAAAGCTTATATATAGTCCTCTCGGAAAGAAAGCTTATAAATCAAAACTCTAAACCCTGGTCCCTGAATCCAATTAAGCCCTAATCGCTAAACCCAAATCCTAAACCTCAAAACCCTAAACCAAATTCCACAACGCTTCGTGAAGCTGCGCCACTACAGTTTGCCTCACACTTGGCAGCCTGCGGCGCATGGGGCTTCTGCAGCAGCGACGCGGAGGCTTCTGCCCCTCGGTAGTGGGTACATGGGGGTTCCTTGCAACAAGGGGCATGAGGGACCTTGAACATAGATGGGGTTTGTGAAGGGCAAAGGGATTCTGCCGGTTTCTATTCAGGATTCTTGCGGGGCACCCGCTCCGTCACAGAATTTGGAGCAGCAGCAATCCACACAACAAATGCCATCGTCTTTGTTTAGTGTGACCATAGTGGTATAGCAAACAATAAAACAACATCAGTCGAAACAACACCGTAGTGATTTGGGCAATTATCATGAGCTGTGGTTGAGACCTCACAACTTCAAGACTTATGACGTGTATATGTAATGTCGCAGAGCCTCGCAATGAAGGCGCTGGGAGCAGCTCTGCTGCCGTTCGGCTGACGGCCAAAACGGCCTGGCCGTCCGGAGATCGATGTACAGTAGGAGCTTCAAGAAGTAGTATGGAGTTAAGGATTTGGGCTTAGGGTTTCGTAGGAGATGGAAAGAATATGGAAACTACCATCTCATTCAACTAGAACAGGGCTTGGGGATAGACTTTACTATGTTCTTGCCAGAGTTGTTGCGAAAACAACCCTACACCTTAAACCCTCTTGGAGCCTTTCGAAGAGTTGTTCATGCATGCAGCTTCGGGGGGACTACTTGGTTTGCGGTTTAGGGGCTACTTGAAGGCTTCTTTCTGAAAAGCTACATGGCGGTTGAGGTTTGAGGTTGCGAGTTGCGAGGGCTTGTTTGCATAAAGCTCGCATAGATAGGGCTACAGCGGCTGTGTCCTGACACAGAGGTCCCTCCCGCCGAGAAAACACAATGGCTACACAGTCAGGGTTTAGGGCATGGGCTTAGGGTTTAGGACTGTTACTGGCCAAGTAATCACAAAGTTCAATCCGGAAATACGCACGTTTTCGGACTATATTCTGTAGCCCACTCGTCCTAGGATTAAAAACCCTCCCTCCCCCGAATGTTTCAATTTTCCGAATGTGCGAGGGGGAATATCTAATGTTACCGGCGATTATGAACCACAGTTCAAGGTGAAGTCAGGTGAGGTCTGCACGATACATTTGGGCAGCTGCTGCTGCCCGTGGCCCACTCAAAATTATACTCTGGCTGAGGTAGGTAGAATATACGGTTTAGGGTTTAGGTTTTTTAGGTTTAGGACTTAGAGTACAGTCCCTGTTAAGTAGACAGAAGATGGGGTTTAAGGCTTTTTGGTCTAGGGTCTAGGGTATAATCCTCCTGAATTAGACTGATATGGGGGTATGTGGGAACCCTATGATGATATTGGGCAATTCCATATTTTATCTACTCAAAGCGGACCATACCAGGAGAATGTCGAAACGTTCCGAGTTCTGGTTGATCTGAAGCCATTTGAATCTGGGAGTTGATTGCACGGAGATCATGCAGAAATATGTCCATCACCACCGATTGTGGTCATCACCAGTGGCAACCCCAAAACCTTCAACACTGAAAACTTGGCCCTAATTACTAACACACCCCATACCCTAGGCCCTGAACCTGGTATGTCGCTAATTACCCCTATAGACCTGCAAAGACCCAATATATGTATCCCTATATAAGCTATAGTCTAAACTCCTAGTATCCCCCTGAGTAACCCCTAGACTGGTCTCTTGTATAATCCCCTATGAAACCCTAAACCCTATATAATCCCCTCGATAACTTTTATAAGGAGTTTAGACTATAACGTTCACTTCATATTAAGAACTACCCCTACATTTATGAAATCCCGAGCCCGGAACACAATTATAATTCCCCCACGATTATAATATCCTC